GGGCAAAGGCCGAGCCAATCAGCGACGGTGGTAGCGTCTCTGCGATAACATATTTAAGAAGGGGGAAAAAACCCCAAACCTGCACAACACCAGAAGCAGTCAGAAGAGAGGAGGGAATATGTGAGAGGAACAGCCCTGCAGACACCAAGGTCAGTGAAGAAGGAGGGAGAGGAGGTGCTCCAGGCGCCGGAGCAGAGATTCCCCTGCAGCCCGTGGTGAAGACCGTGGTGAGGCAGGCTGTCCCCCTGCAGCCCAATGAGGTTAACGGTGGAGCAGATATCCACCTGCAGCCCGTGGAGGACCCCACGCCGGAGCAGGTGGATGTGCCCAAAGGAGGCTGTGACCCCGTGGAGAGTCTGTGCTGGAGCAGGCTCCTGGCAAGACCTGTGAACCCGTGGAGAGAGAGGAGCCCACGCTGGAGCAGGTTTGCTGGCAGGACTTGTGACCCCGTGGGGGACCCATGCTGGAGCAGTCCGTTCCTGAAGGAATGCACCCCGTGGAAGGGACCCACGCTGGAGCAGTTCGTGAAGAACTGCAGCCTGTGGGAAGGGCTCACGTTGGAGAAGTTCGTGGAGAGCTGCCTCCCGTGGGAGAGACCCCATGCTGGAGCAGGGGAAGAGTGTGAGGAGTCCTCCCCCTGAGGAGGAAGGAGTGGCAGAGACAACGTGTGATGAACTGACTGTTTTGATTGGTAATAAATTAAGCTAATTTCCCCAAGTCATGTCTGTGTTGCCTGTGACGGTAATTGCTGAATGATCTCCCTGTCCTTATCTCGACCCACGAGCCTTGCGTTATATTTTCTCTCCCCTGTCCAGCTGAGGAGGGTAGTGATAGAGTGGCTTTGGTGGGCACCTGGCATCCAGCCAGGGTCAACCCACCACAGAAGTGGTAAGTGATTGCCTTTGCATCGTGTGTTTTTTTTTTCCTTTCTTTCCTTCATCTATTAAACTGTCTTTATCTCGACCGACAAGTTCTTTCTCAGTTTTGCTCTTCCAATTCTCTTCCCCATCTCTCAGAGGGGAGGGGGAGTTGAGTGAGCAGCTGGTGGGTGCTTTGCTGCTGGCTGGGGTCAACCCACCCCATGCTTACAAGGAAATGATGAAAAATGCACCACACTGATGTACGGGTGTGCCTTTGCATGCTGGTCTCTTTTAGAATGGAGTTGTAAAGGCCAGCTGCGGGTGTGAGAAGCAGAGCGCCGAGCAGCCGCTCTAGAGCGCAGTAATGGCTTACTTAGCTGGAGTTGCCCCCTTAGTCCAATCTAGGCAATGGAAAAGGAAGGGAACAGAATGATTAATGCAAACGTGGCGGGAGGGGGGGGGGGGGGGAGAAAAAAGGGGAGGGGGA